TAATTTATGCTTTAATATTATGACTTTTACGAAAATGGCACACGCTATTTTTTATTTATGCGCATATCTTACTCATGCTTCAGTTTCACGATTAAATGAAAAATATTACTGAAATAGGTTTTAAATTCTATAAATTTTTTTGCTAAAGAAGTCAATGGTTTTCGTAAGCACTTCCTTTAAAAACAGAATCTTGGACGTATTGTGGCAGAGAGACTCACATGTAAATTCTTTCTAATTTTGAGATAAATAAACTGAAATTAATTTATCCATATATATTATTGTTCCCGGCAGACAAAGAATTAGTAATATATTCGAGAAATAGTAGAATAAAAAATTATTGCATATAATTGAATTTTTGTTAATGAGATTTCTTTCTTTTGCAAAATTTTCTCCGCTTCAAAATTTTCATACCTTGTTACTGCCTTTAAAGAAGCACTCATATAGAAATAAATAATATATGAAATCCGTTCTACTGATTATGCTGCATTTTTTGGTAATTTTCGTCATATGTAATATTTTATATGCTTTAAAACTTTCGAATTGAGAAATAGTAGTCTTTCAATTTAAGCCTGTAATAACCTTTGGAAATTACATGTTACCATAGATGTTTTTCAGTTTAAGCCAGAAACCCCTTTAAAAACTACATGTTACCATATAACAATAACTTATTACCTACCTTTACATAACTTGAAATACAAAAATGCTAATTGCTCTAAATTTCCTGTTTTCTGATTTCAGCAACAATTTAAAATGATGTTCGTATATATATTTACTTACTGAAGGACTACTCTTATTCTCTTAGCTTTCGTAATATCGCGACATTGTAGAAATCAGTCCTATGCCGCTACATGAAATGGGTGTTAACTGCGTTGTAAAATATTTATCCGAATGCATTTTACTTATATAGAAGTACTTACACTATTATTTATATTTACTTAATATAAAAAAGTGTACTCTGAGGAGCGGAAGGAGTTGATATTTTTCATGAGGTAATCATGCAGAATGGCTTTGTTGTTCACCAATTTTACACCATAATATTACAAAATTTATTGCATTGATTGATTATTGATACTTGTTTGTTCTTTATCTGTTCTTCCATCTTCGTGGGTGTACAAAAATATATATCCTTTAACGAAAATATTACTTTCTAAAAATTTTTTTCGGTGGGCACTAGCCATTTTTAGGCTTTATTTTAAATGTTAAATTTAGTCTTTTTACATCACTTTTTAGGCGCAGAAACTGTAATTTTAAGATTCAACTATTAATTATCTTACGTTAATTACCTTAGCTATTTTTGGACTTTTAGCCATTTTACCTTACCTTAAATGTATGAATTTTTATTTTTATTTTTAAAGTAAAAAAATATATTAGAATTGATATCAAGTAAAATAGGAAAAATACTAAAAAAATATAAACTAAGGTTTTATTCCAATTTTTGAAAACATATTGTTGCCAAATTATGAAAAAAAAAAGATAGGCAAATATGTAATAACAATTTTATGTAAAAATATATATCTTATAAATTTGTTCAAACAATTTAAAAACTTTGAATACATCAAATACAAAATCAAAAATTCGAAATTCGTAAACACAAACAATGTGCACCACATCGTACACATCAAATCACAATAATGAGCATTACACCGTTAGCGGGGCCACCACACTGAAATTTTAAAAACTATAATACGTAAACAGTATGTATCCACTATGCAGTAAGCTAAAATTTGTGTTTTGAATTAATTTACGTGACTAAATATGAGAATGTTGCCAAATGGCAACTACATGCATTTAAGGGTTAAGTAATTGTTTTGCTCATAATTGTAGCAACACGTTTACATAGTTTTTACTGTTCATGTGGATCATAATAAAAGGCTATCATATGAATAAAAAAATTACTGTGTATTGCAGTTTCAAGACTACAGCCAGGAGAATTTTTTGAGAGATTTTGTAGGGCTTCTTACATGTCTAATTATCTTCAAAAAATGACTCAGTGCGAAAGACTACTCGGCAGTAAGCTGTAAAATTTTACGCTAAATCATGCAGATATTGACACATATGCAGCAAGCGAAAAAGGTTCCATGTTAATCTCAGAGCTATGCTTGAAAATAAAATGTTAAGAAAAGGTATTCCATGAAATCATTAATCAACTTTTATTGGAGGAATACTTTGAAAATGAAATTCTCTTTCATGTCTAGAATTTCCACTGAATTTGAAAGTCCTCCATGATCTCAATGTTTTTGAAGGCGTAAATGCTTAGTACATAAAAATAAATTTGTTTGTTGAGCCAGGGCAAAATTCACCGATAAAAGCGGAGCCCTCTGACCCGCAAAAGAACGCACTGCTTTGATGGTTTCCGACAAGAACAACAATAATGCCGCTTCTTCACTTAAGGTTGCAGACTGGCGGAAGAAATAAACGTCATCAATGCATAATAATTGTGGGTCACGCATTATGTATGCATGCAGGTGCAAATGAATTCTTTCGAACAGTTGTCTGTATCCGAAAGAATCTTGAGGTCTCATCGAAAATAAACAGTATTCCAAGGATATCTGTTTTTGTTTGCTGGGAATGATTGAACTCCTGATATCAGTTGAGCATTCAGTATTAAAAGAAAGAAATGACTTTATTAGAATGTGTCGAATTTCTTTCACTTTTCGTAATGATCCATGAATACATGAACTCAAAAAATATAAATTACGAGAGGACTGGCAGTTCGTTTTTATGAATAGATGATTGCAAAAACTGTTCTCCAATAATTCAATGCAAAATAAAAGAATCAGCTTATTGCTAATTAATCGTGTTAATTTGCATTACAATTATATGAACTTATTGCAAGCCCTTATGTTGGTGACAACTGACACTATACAATATCATAATTATTCTTCTTCATGAATTTTATTATTTTAATAGTATTAGTTGAAATAACTGCAACGTCAAAAGATTAGACATCGCGAATTATGTTTAATGTTGCATTAATATGTACTTTTAGTATTGCCCCCAATAGCTAGATATCGTGAGTATTAGTGATAGTTATATTTGGGACTATCATATTTATGAAATTTATAAAATACATGTGTTATAATTGAAAACGCTGATTTCAAAATTGCATAAATTATATTCTTTAGCTTAGAATACTTCATCGCTTTTTGTTAATACAGTGCAGTTGAAGTTTGATATTATTACGCACATTCTGTAATTTAATAAATGAGCTTGTTAATTTCAAAGTTAAATGTCTCAATACGCATTTAAACTACATTCATTGTTGCAGAATATTTTGGAAAAACCTGAAAAAGAGGAAAAATATTGCAGTAATTTAAAGATTATAAGAATTATTTGGTATTTGGTTACTTTCTGAGCGACGAATAAGCACAAAATCAACTAATTTTGTATGCTTGAATAAATGTTAAAGAAAGCATATATAAAGTTACATAATTTAGTTTTTGTGTATATTTTTGCGAATTGTAATCACGAAAGATGTTAATACATGGCATAAAACTTCTTTTGATCTGCAACGTTTGGTTTATAAACTGCTGTTTTTCTAGAAAATATAACAAGGCCTAAAGACCGAAGTCTTTCAGGTTCGTGATTTCCGATTTAGGAAGTTATTTACATTAACAGTGGCATACATTAGACTTTTCAAGATTTTAAGAATTAATTGTCTTATTTTGATAAAATTTGGCAAAAACTGAAGGTGAAGTGACGTAACAAATAATGGTTTCAAGAGTTTTTCAAAATTTTTAATGTTTTAATACTTTAATTGGGGGGGAGAGTCCTTTATATATAATGACATCTTTTAATGTTATTTTATCATTTTTTTTCTTGATATTAAATCTATCTTATGTAAATTGCTTTATCAGCTAAACACTTAATAATTTATCAAACAGCAGAAAATTATAAATTTTTGCCATATATATACTTTTTTAATTGTATTGAAACACTGAGTTCATTGCGATTTACGTAGCTGATGCTGAAAATTGTCAGCAATCCGAATGATTCAGGCATCAATTTAGATAAGCAGGGGTATTGCAGAAAATGTAATGATTCGGGTTAGAAACTTTACTCAATATCTTCCTTCTGTTAATTAGTGATGACTTCCAATTTAATTTCTGCAATGGATGCGTCACATGCTGCATATTCAATTAATTCTATTCACTTTTTACCTGTGAATTAGTTTCTATATGAGTTTCAGTTTCGTATTGAGTTCCCCTTTCATTTTCTTATTAACTGAGAAAAAATTTTAAATATTATTCCCAAAATTTAAACGGTCTTACTTAAAAAATGAGACTTAAATGTATGTAAATGTAAGTTTTCTCTTAGTCGTAGCTACGAGAAATACACCTTAAGAATGGCAGCGAGTTTCCAATGGAGAAGAACTGAAAAAAATGTTTAAAGCTAAATCTAAAATTTACTCAACAGTTCTTGATTACTGTTAAATAAAATTCATAACGATTGACAGAACTAGCAAAAACCTTCTGAAAAATAAATGTAATGTATAATGCTTTAACAATCCTTCGTTTGATAGGCTTTTATATTAAGGCAGTTCTTACAACTAAATTAAATCTTATGCTCTAGTTAAACCGAATTCAGGAATTCAGCACTTTCTGGAGACGAAAGAACTCCCTCCAAAACACTAGTTAAACTCAAATATTCATGTTAAATCAATATTTAACCACAAGTCGTACTGGCGATACTTTCTGAAATACATTTATCTACTTACGTATTTCCGAAATCTCTGATTTCCCTGGGAGCGAAATTCACATAAGCGAAATTGTGGAAAAACTGAAAGTTTGAACTCGAACCAATATTTGTCAGTATAAAATAAATGAAACGTATATGTATTTTGATCCATAAATTCTTGGATTTTCACAAATTTATCGATTTCTCAGCCTCAGTAGAAGTTTCCATTTCAAATCCTGTGACTGAAATATTTATTTGCAGAAGTTGGCAGACTGTATGGACGTCTATAGAATTGTGTTTATTTATTTGTTTATTCTTTTTAGGTCGAATACGGGGTGAAAAGCCATTTGTATCTCTGTGTCACTTCATTCAAGAATGGCCTAAGCTGTCTGCAAAGCAAAAAAAGGGATTCCGAAAACTCTATCAACAAGGCTGTCGTTGCAAGGTAAGCTGCGGTTATAATTAAATAAAATCTTTTCTGTATGCTTTTTCAGAGAAATATTCAAAACACCATTAAATTAAATCTCTCATCGAATGATGAATGCTAAATATTCGTATATTTTTGTGCTTCTTATTTTAAGATTTCATATTTTCTTTTAGATGAATCTGATCGATTCTTATTCATTTTTAAATTAAGTATGCTGTTGATAGAAACTAGTGTGTGTATTTAATAAATACTGTCCATAAATTATTATGCTACTGTCACTTGTTTTCGAAGTTTTCTCGTTAAATGGTATATATCATAAAATTACTTTCATACGTAATGATAAATTTAACAGCTGAAAACATGCAGAATATCCTTTAATTTTAATATATTACAATTATATCATCTAATGCGTTAATTTGCAATAGGCATAACTCAGATATATTTGAATAGGATTGCTAAAGATATCTGCAGAATAAATAACGAATTTTTATTAACGGTAACTCACACAGGCACGCTAGTAATAATATTATTATTTGTTGAGTAAAACCAATTAAAATATGCTAAAAATGCTACAGTAAAAACGAAAATGAGTTATTACAATAAACCAGTGTCATTTCTCAAAATATTTAATTTCTATGTCAGAAATTTTAATTAAATTCTTTAAATCCCATCATCTTTCTTTAAACCCTGTCTTTTACTTTAATCCATGTCTTTACTACAATTTTACTTTTTTCTTCCATTCTTCAAGTAGGGCATTTATTCTTAAAGATATCTGAAACGTCTTCGCTTTTTAATCAAAGCTCGATTTCCTTATTTGAAGAACTGTTGATATAACTGATGATTGATAGCTCTTAGTATGCTTATTACAATTAAACAGTTATATTTATGGGTACAGATTATTAAGCTTCTATCGAAGCTTATATGTCAATTACATCTAGACTAGTCAAAGTATCAGTGGAATAACAGCAACTCGGAATAATTTAGAAGGGAAAAGAATTTAGAACACGTGGTCGTTCTGTACTTCACCTGATTCAGAAATATAAAGACAAAAGTTCTGAGCTTTTAAAACTGCATGATCGAGCCCTTTGCTCTTAAATGGTGCTTGTTTCTTCGAATGTATTATGATGATTATCTAATTAGCTGAACAAAGTAAATAAGGAGGATGGTTCATGTCACGAAACTGCTTGTCTGTCTTATTTCTGCTGCGTAACTAATTGCACCTGATATGATGGAAGGAAATCACGACTAATATGTATATATAAATAATGGTGTTCGGTTTAAAATACCACGCACGATCACATAGCGATGATTAGTTAAGAACTTCAGCAAGTCACTTACTAACAATTCACTTATGTGTTAAACGTAGCGTTATCTCAGTTCTCTCATTTACTTTTTTTGGTTTAAGAAACATCGAAGGCTGTGGAGTAAAACAAAATCTTAAAAGGTTGGGGAGACGAAAGTATTCATCAAAACGTATTACTTTGAACGCATTTTGAAAATAATACTCCGTAATTAATATGTAACTGTTAGTAATTGAAGCACAATAATAGTTTATTGCATGACATTATTTTAATGATAATAGCTTATTTAGTAAACTTTAATTACGAATAAAATTTATTTGTACATCAAGATAAAAAATTGTACATGAATTAAAATTGTTTTCAAGAACTATTAAAAAATTAGAGAAGTAATGTAAGTTATTTACATAGCATTCTTAATAGATATTAACTGTCTTGCGCAAGTTTTATTATTTTATATTTAATCTATACTATAAACAAATTGCGCAGTATATCTTATTTCTTTGAATGCAATTTCGTCTCCTTTCTCACTGAATGAAGGATGACCATGAAATGCTGAGATGCATAGAATAATCTCTAAAATCTAGACTTGCTCAGTAAGTAGGCTACTGAATTTCCGAAACGTTTAGGTCCTTCAATCTCTACTTATTTGATATGTTTAATCTAAAAACAAACTGCAGACTTCTGCTTAATTATTCTTAATTATTAATTAACCTGCTTTTATCGTTATAATCCATGAGTTTATTGCAAATTTGTTGAGTAAGAATCACAGCAAGTACAGATATACAGCAGTATATCTCACATTTTACCTTACCAAGAAATCTTACAGATCCTTTTTTTTAGGTTCGTATGCCTGGTTATGTGAAGAACGTGAGAGAACCTTATTGCCTGTGGGATACTTTCCGGGGCAAGAGCGATTGTCAAGGCCTTTACTCGCTATGTGTTCCTACAGCCCAGAGTAGAAACGGAACTGAAACTTGTTCCTGGGTAAGCACCTCACAATACCGTCGATGCATGAAGGAAAGGAAACTTGAAAGAGATAGAGAACCTTAAGAGATTATTCGGAAAATGTGTTGAAAAGACTTGGACCTATTGTGAAGGTTTTCAATACCATGTGGTGTTTACGTGCTGTGAGCTATAGATTACCTCAACTAGATCGGGAAGTGTCTGTCCGGCCCAGAGGACTAGAAGTGAACTTCGAAACGATGTCTAAGGACTGACGTCTGTATGAGGAGTGAGGGTATTAGTTTTTTGCCATCCTGTCAAATTTTTCAAGGCGAAATGCTTGAACAGCGTTCAGATTTGTAATTTATGTTATTTTTGCATTCAAGTTTTTTGTATGCATGCTCCATTAGTTTATCAAGCATTGCTCACGTCTTTCAGTTCCATACGTGGTCATGTTGATTTTATGTAATGCACCCTAAAGCGGAACATTCACCAACAATTGAACACAGTGAGGTGTATAAGAGGTATACTTCGTCCCCACAGATTATTTAATGGCATTTTAGAAAGTTGTATAGAGATTGCGAAATTTCATTTTATTCTTTACTACTGACGACGGTAATTTGTTTGGAATATGTAAAACTGACAGAAACTAAATGATGGTATGGGATGAACTTAAAAAGAAAAATCATCAAAATTTTAAACTTTTAAAAAAGGAGTGATTATACGTAATCAGTTGCAGTGATATTAGTACTCATTTTACCTTTTGCTAATTGATAAGGAAAATATTATCACATTAATTTTATATTCATCATCATAGCTATCTATTTCGTACTTGGTTTTTGTTTTGATTTACCTTTCGGAAGCCATTGGCGGTACTGAAAATGGAATGCGCAGTAAACATTTTGTTTGCACACTTAGGTTGCAGTTTGTAATATACTAAGATTTAAATGCTGCTTATTTCCTCACGTCTCAATTAAAAAAAATTTTTTTTAAATAAAATTTTAATCTTCACGTTTAGATTTAGTACTGCTTAATTAAGAGCAGGGAAGTAAGGACAATATCGTAATTAATTTTATAATTTCTGAAAGGTATAATTCTAAAATTTGTCTTCTTGTATTTCATTTCGTTCATTAGCACATCCATGAGTGAATTTAGCTTGTTCCATTTCTTTGCCCGAATATTTAGGTATTTGAAAGGAAGCGACTACAGAATTTATTCTACCAACATTTATCAGAACTATTAAGGTTTAATATTACAAACACTGAATTTTTCTTTCATTTCTTTTACATATTAGAACTTTGAACTAATGGGGGATGTTGTCATGCGCATCTTTACCTACTAACCGCTTTACAGGACTTTGTAAATATTAATTTAAGTTATTTTTCTTTCCCCCTTTTTTAATGAGGATGATTATGTTATGCATTATACTTTAAGAGGACGACCACGTTTGCTTCTAAAAGTGAGAGACGGAGGGATATTTCATTATCGCGATGTACTATAAATATGTACAGGTTCTTTTGTAGAATATAATTTCATGTTATGGAGCGGTGTGTGTGTATTCTCCCAGATTGTACAAATATTTCATATTGATTAGTGTAAATCATTTTCTCTTTCAAAGCTGGAAGGTTCTGTTTGTTCCTTTCTCATCATTTTTAAGTATAGCGCAATGTGTAGTTACCGTAAACTTTCTTTGTTTGTGGTAATAAAATTGACTAAATCATCTTAAATTTTCAAGTACTAATGTATTTTTTCGTACATTGGATTTCTGCAAGAATCTGCATTTGCTGAAATATTTAGGTGAATAAGACTATTAATACTTTCTAAAGCATGAAATATACTTAGCCCTAAGACTTCTTTTTCTGAAACATTCCATTTCATAATGTCATTTTATGCTGAAATGTGTTTGTAACCATTTCTTTTAAAGAAGACTTGTACGCTGCCTCCCATTTAGTGCCGTGTTCATTATTCATTTTGACTTTTTTTCCCTTAGAATACGTTAAGAATATTTTTCATGCACATACACGTGTGTGTGTGTGTGTGTGTGTGAAAATATTCTTAAAAGAGTTTTAATAATTCTTAAATAAGATATGCCAAAATAGTGATGTTTTATTTTACAGTGCCATAGTTGCAGTCGGTATAATTCTATCGTCATCTCCTAAAGTTGCATAAAATCATCATTTTCCAGCTTTGAAGATCATCATTGTTAGAGTTATTTGAGTTCATTTCTTTCTTTAATTTAAAATTTCGCTCTCACTGATCATTCATCATGAGTTTTATTTGAACTCTGCTGTGTAGATTTTGCAAAATCAGAAACATTTCAATATAAATTTTGAGGAGTTTAAAAACTCTCTTTTTGCGCAGTACTTGCAAACTTCTGAGCTAGTGAAATAAGAAGATTATTTGAAAACTTTATGGGTAGCGTTCATAAGCTCAGAAAACGAGCTCGAAATGGTCTCGAGAGAATATTTTCATCATTACTAGCAAAATTGATATTATTTCTTTGACAAGTTTCCTTTTGCGGGAGTTTTTTAGAAATTTGACACTATCAAATGTAACAAAACAATAAAAGTGAACAAGAATGACAAACAAAGATGCTTTGTCTGCAAGTAAGTTTTTTGCGAGAAATATTTAAGTAGTTTTACTGTGATATGTCTTTTATAATGGAAGAAAGCCCGCGAGCCCTCCCACCATGGCAGATCTTTGACGCTTTACCGACCTCACAGAGTTATGAAAAGTGTGTGTTCCTTTGTATGTTGGTTATTCCCTTTATATGTAAATAAAAGCATTTTGATATTTAAACGTGTGCTGTTGTTCATTTCATTTACTTTTCAGGTATCACATTTACTTCTCTGACAATAGTGGCAAGTGATACTATTAGCTTAATTACGTACCTAATGATATAGCACAAAAAATTATAAATTACATTTCTAATTTCGAAGTAAAAACGCGGCATAAGAAGAAACATCATATAACATCACTATTTATAAATTATAACTCACAAACAGCACTGATATATAAAGCTTAAAAAATCTATTTTCTTTTTGTGATGTTTGGAATAAAAATTAACGTTTACGTTATAGAATTTCCTCATAATTTAATAGGACTAACAACTGTAATGCAGAAAATAGAAAGACCGAACAACGGTATTAACCAAAATTTTTACGAGACCAATAATGCAGTAATATTACAATCCATTTTTGTAGAAATCTGGTAATCAGCAAGTCCAGTCACAGGATTTATGTAGTATCTGTTATTTACAGTTAAGTCATATAAATCATATAGAAATAAAAAGATTTTTGTACTTAAGACAACAAAATTTGCTCAGTTAAAGCTATATATGCATACATCTTTTAGCATATATGGTAATGAAACACCTGTTTTAGTAACACTGAAAATTGAAAATAAACAGCATTTTAATTTAAAAGGACACTGCATTATATTTTCTAACATGAATATTACAACATTCATCCACAAACAACCAAATACCTAAAACTTCTCTCTAAGCTATGCATTGTCAGTAACACAAGTGGTTTGAAATGAAAGTGAAACTCAGACTATGTTTCCCCCCCCCGCTATTATGTTTGTTTCCATGATTGAAAATTAGGCCACTAAAAATAACCTTCCTCAGGCAATATTGTGATAATATTGGCACTATCTTTCTGATACAATGTACACATAAAGAGTACGTAGTGAGACAAAATTAAGCGGAACACTGCTTTATTTGGCGACACCAAGCCAGAAACCAAGTTAGCAGAAAGAGAGCAAAGGGCCTACGGACTACCTCCAAAGGACGTTGCACCACTATTGAATGCGGGCTTCTTTTCGTGGGTCACCCTGTATATATATATATAAAACCTATATATATAAATATAGTAAATTATGTACATACTGAGTGGTGAAATACGATTTCGGCATAATACTTTTCAGTATACTTGTCAAAATCTATAACATTCACGCTTTCCATATAAATATTTATGAATTTGAAAAACATTACCTCAGTTTCATTTCAAAAACTGTTTGTGAATAGTATTTCTAATTATTCGTGATTGTTCTAAAAACAAATTCTCAATTTTTCAAGAAAATCAATGCCGTATTTTAAAGGTGAAGCAAAAGAGTTTAAGTTTTTTGTATTTTTTGTACTTTTATTGCGAAAGGTAACCAGCAAAACGTTTAGGATCTATTATTTCTATTTTAAAAAACTACCGTTGTGTTCAACTGAACAAATAGATCACAGCAAAGAGTTTTCACTGCTTTTATTCGTAACATATATTCTACTTTATACTTGTTTTATTTGTAAGATGTGTTTAAAAAAGTCGCATGTGTTAAACAAAATACAAATCTTTACATGCTCGTTAAACAAAAGTACATTTACCGACAGTAAATACAAAATTTGTTTTGTTCAATTATTTAATTTTATTTTTTGTGATTCTCTTTAAAATATTTTATGAGTGATTAAACATTGTGTTTCAAGGCACCACTTAACGTTTTAAATTCATTTGACAATAAAGTAAATGAAAGAAAAATTATATAGAGAAAACAGCTAGTAAATAAAGTATTTCGACTTCTGCAGTTGTGGAATCACTTAAGAAGTGATATGAAACGAAATATTTAAAATGTGAATGCATTTTTCTCGCATACGTACGCACTTTTATACGGTAGAAAGTTGAGTTATAATTCTTCATGTTCTGTTGACTTTTCTCTTACTTTAATTCTAAAGAGCTATCTGCCTATTCTATTATTAAATACAAACTTACATTTAAATATTTTAAAAGAAAATTAAGTTATTAAAATTCGTACTTTAAAATAGTACTCTAAACGTATATATGTTATTTTTAAATAATAAATAAGATGGTCTTAGCTACATATTTACACACTGCTAATTTTCCCTAACTTTCGTTATTCTTTACGACAAATGCGTGCTAATTCAAATTTATCTACACTCGTTTTGACGTTTTTATTAAAAATTTTTCTTTTAATGGTTTCAGAGATTTAAAACCACTAATAAGGGGTGAGACTATCTCAGCGCGAAAAGTGAAAATATTTAGAGGTTTTTAAATAGGCATAAAATAATATACGAAATAGTAATTACTTATACATTATTCCTATGACTATTTAGATGTTTATGCATTACTCAGTAATATCTAACTGGCATTGTTGAATGCTACGAGTTCGCTCTTGTTTACAGTTATCATTTACAACTGACAAGAATGCTTTGGAAAAAAAAATATTAGGGCATTAGTAATGTAATGAGGCTATTTTAAGGCTACAAATGTGATTTGGGATAAACTTAAAATACATAATAGCAAAGATATAAAATCATATAACAGAATTGACAGGAATTAAGTGGTGATAAAATTCTGTGTAAAAGTGTGTATGTTCTTTAAATATGTAAAACTAAGACTTCAGATTACGTGTTAAATGACATATATTTATATATATTGTCAAATTTTCCCATTTAATAACGTTCTACTCGTGTTATGGAAAATGGTGTCAAGCAGATACGGTACATAATTTTTTTAACAACACGAGAGTTCTGTGTTAGAAAATGGTGTCAAGTACATCATTTAATAACACGAGGTTTGTGTTTGAGAAATAGTAAAAGAAAGTTATTATTTATATTAGAAAGAAAGGTTCTTGACGATAGTGGTTTCACAAGCAGCGGTATCAAAGTTCTTTATAAGTTTAACATCTAGTAAAGATGATTGACGGACACATTTAAGAAGTTGAAGATCATAACTGAAATATAAACAGTTATACAAATCAATGCATAATGTTTCCACGAGTCAACTATATTTTAGAGACGATGCATAATCATATGCCTTTCATAATGACTTAAATTTGAAACCATACTCACCATCTCCTTGTGATTTGGGAAATATGACTGCTCGATGAGGGGAAAGTTTTCTTTATCTAACCTTTTTTGCATATGAAGAAGTTGTGAAAACTGAAAAAGTTAAAAAATTTAATGAAAGAAATTTAGCTTCAATATTATTCAAGTAAGAAAGAATAATATTTTTATAAAAAAAAAAATCAATGCATACAAAAATACAATATCCTTGATTTTTTCCCCAAGAAAATGCATAAACCTGCAATCGAAAGATATTACTAGAATTTATTGTAATATTTTACATTTTGTAATAACAAGTACAAATTTCAGTCATGTCGTTATGTCGTTTTCGGATTTCTGTTCCAAAACACCCTCTGATATTTTAACCATAGCGTTAACTGGGCATGAACTTTTTTCGTTTTAACAAATGCCCTACCTAAAGTCCCAGATTATCCTTGTACATTCTAAACTCTTTCCTTATAATTTAGTATGGTATGAAATTAGCCACACATACATTAATTTCTTCTACTTTCCTTAAGAATTATCCAATAATATATCACGTATGCACTGAGCATATAATATTCATGTTAGTCCAATGTTCGTTACTGAAATGATCATCATCTCACAGCTAACCGATAAATGCGAGACTTAATATGTAATTAATCATATTGCGTGGTCTTTCCGTGCTCTAGTGTCGCCATCTATATGTAATATCGAAAACTTAAAGCTAATATGTTTTCGTTATGTTGAACGAACTTTATGAAATTAACTTTACAAGCTTTATGAAAATAATTATTTGTAAGTCTAGCTTAGCTTAACATGTCAAACTCGGCATCGGTCGCTAGGAACTAACCTTAGGCCAAGTATTATAATAGACTTGGCGTCTAATGCATGAAAGGATAGCTAATGATTGTTTAGCTGTAACCCTGGCCAGTAGAAGGAAATAATAATAAATTCTAACACGATCTTCCCCAGTTAATATATTTCTTACATAATACTTATATCTGTGTAGTCTCCACCTAGAAAACAAATATTTTCATTTACCTACAGCAGGATACAATCATTTCGTATTCCTTTTCGCTTCTTAATGCAATATTTTGCATCAGAAATAAATGAAATTATTATTGTTATTACATATTCTTCTATATATTTTATTTTTAATAAATGGTTTAAGCCTCGTCGTCTAAATTTCATTTTTTATAAAATCTCTTTCAAGCTTTATCATATAATAAGATGCAAAAACAACCAAATGTTTCGCAGTGCGTGAACTGTTATTAATGTTTAAAGGTACAAGTAGTTGTGTTATTTCTAGTTAAAGATTATGCGAGGTGAAGAGCTTGACGAAATATTTTAGACTTTCTGACAGAAAATTAGCTGAAAACGAGCAGACTGTAATTATTTTTGTTGAGACACGAGGATTACAAAAAGATTCTAGTTCTTCTGGTGTGATACAGTAACGTGGTTGCAAGAAATGGTTGGTTGGCTAAATAGCTCAGCACATATTTTAGACTACACTTGACTTGGAGACAACACCTGAGTTTGAAGGCAAGTGAACTGAAAAATGTGTTATCTGGAGCAAATATATGATACGTATCATAATAGATGTGAGCTGAAACTGAAACCGGATAATTAAACAAGAAATAACAAAAAGTGTATCGCGTACCCGAGGATTTTTCTAATCATCAAACTTTTAAAACCCATGCGACTTAATTCATCATCAAATATTCAAATTTAAAATTTCCTTTGGTTAAATGAATTTCTTTGAAACTAGCTCAAAGTGTTTTATAACTTAAGTTTTATAATTAAACAACAGTTAAGTATTTTCTTTTTATGTTTAGCATTTACTACATAGATCAAATAATTGCCAGCAATTTCATCCCGTGGTCTATTTTGAAATACTATTTGGAACGTCGCCTAATTCTACATTATAATTTAAATAAAGCCAGTTTAACTTAAAGTATACTCAGCGATAACACTTATATAGGCAGTGGGTTGAAAATATGGAATTATCTCACTTTCAAAGAAGCCGTATAATATTTGAAACTCCTTAAAAATCAATAATGAATTTTTCGGATAAAGTAACTGATATTTTTATTTCTGAGGAAATGTAGATCCAATGTAGATTTGTTATTATTTAAATGTATTTCTGATTGTTCACATGTTATTCACATTATTTTTGTGTTATTTCACATGATTTGTTATTTCTTCACATGTAGATTTATATATCGCAAATATATATATATATATACAAGGTTAATTGTAGTTGTAGTCTGGGGGCTTTGCGTTAATTATTTTTTCATATTTTAACATTATGCCGTCAGGAAAGTGCTAGGCCACAAATTTAGCACTAAATCCTGTTAGTCCAATAGCAACTATTAAGTGCACTTCAAAATTAATTACAGAAAATAATGTTTTCCTTTATAAATGACGATCATAACTTTAATCTTAAGAAAAAAAAGTTTGCCTATTAAATTGTCGTATTTTGAACTTCAATCTCTCAATATTGACCTCCGACACCTGGGTTTATATTAACTTTGAATATTTGAATATCAGAAAGAAGTACTGTAATACAGAGTTCTAAGAGGTACAAACATTGGCGTAGCTAGAGAGGAACAAGAGGAGCATCTGTTCCCGGGCGCAGCATCCAGAGAGTGCCAAACAGATGTTACGAAATTTTGGAATGAATTGTTTTCTCTTCTTCGCAGGCAGGAAGGAGCGTGAAATTTTTAACTGTCCACTGACGCCGAAAACCTAGCTGCAGTTCTGAGTGCAAAAATGAGAAGTGAAGTTCATTTTGGAAGAAAAAATAACCCCATTGTAAACAGTTAGATTTGTTTCCAAAATAATTTGAAAAAATTTAATAAAATTCCACAAAGGAAAACCAGGCAGCAAATTTCTCATATCAGATTTATTTTTCAAGAAATGTAACCAAGAGAAAAAAATTCCAGTACCAAGAAGAAATAATATTGTAGACTTATAATTTCAAAAGCTTACAGTACGATTAGATTTGCAAAAATCTGCTTATCCAGCTGCATACGAAATTGCATTAAAAACTATAAATTGTGAAACTGGATAAAAAAATAATCTGCTTCCCAAATCTAAACGTCGCACTGATCTTTCACACGATTCTCTTAAATGTTTTAAATAGACATAGGGCAGTAATGACTGGCAAACACTGAGAGCTGTTGGATTATCGGTTTCGATTAGGGGCGCCCAATCTATGGCACGAGTATCACTGCGCGATAGGCGAAGACTTAGTCATAGGTACTCGAAAAAAGTATCAGCAATCGCGAAAAATAGCAAAATATTGCAATAAATGCTGATAAAAAATTCAGAATGCTTATATTTCTCACTGAATAAAATTGAAATTAACTGCAAGAATTTCCGATGTGACTATTAATGACGGACAGGTGTACAAAAGCAATCATACCTTGCCCACGCCAATAATGTTGCTCGATTTCTTACTCATCGCAAATAACCTGTTTCCACGCTCTGGTATTGTATATCGTATAAAACAATTGGCAATAAACCATACTTTCAGTACTGAGTGAATCAAGTGACTTACATTATTCTTTACAACTGTGATATTCAAACCAGTCTGAATGTGAAGTTTTGTTTTAAATAATTTTTTTTTTTTTTTTTTTCCTTTAGAGCTGTTAAATGTAAAGCGTTATTTATTTCAAAATGGTTAAGTGGTTAAAAAGTAAATAATCGCACAGAACTGAAATTACCTTGGATAATAGCTGTGATTTGGCGTCTGCGACAAGCACTTTCAAGGAATCAGGGCGGGGGGGGCGGACTACAAACTGAGGGGCAGGTTAAAGCTGTTATTCTGGGTAACAGACAGGCCAAGAGTAATAAAAGCAAAAGCGATGCTTCCCAGAAGAAAGGAAAGTGTTTCGATGACTATTTGAAGTATACATTTTCATTTACAGTAGATGAGGATAGCTTCAATTATTTTTGTATAGTATTTGGAGAGATTTTATTAAATAGATATATGAAATCTTTGTTACTGTTTGCGACATTTAGAAACTAAACATTCCAATTGCTTGCAAGCAAAATGAATAAACCCTTTTTAGCGACTTCTCAAAAATCCTAATGTAAAATTTTATCTCTCATCAGCAATCATAGACAATGCAGATGCGGTTGAAGCATCCTACAGAATAATTTATCTTATCTCTAAAACTGGGTAAAATTATACGCTTGCTAAAAACTTGATAACTCTTCATATTAAAGGTGCTGTTTAATCTCTGTTTGGAGGGGGTGGGGTGGTCGAAAAATTAACAGCATTCATTCAATTCTCAAACAACAATTTCTGGAGAATCAAGGGCAAGTTTGACTATATTTCATTGACAGTAACATAGGGAATAAAAAATATTCTGGTTATATATACATTTATGTATCCAAGTTGACAAGAGTACCCATGTATTGAACCTTTCGATCTGCGTAAATGGTAAAAATTTTGAGGGAAATGTCTTACTGTGCTAGGCTGTTACAGAAATGTGTACATTTTTAATACCATTAATGAGTATTTTATATAATCATTTGCAAATGATGTAATTATCTGCGTACTAACATAGTTTCCTCATAGAAAATTTCATGAAAATAGAGCGAAGTGTTTTATATGTTTAATTTCGCTGTCACCTCTGTACATCTAAAAAAAGCTTAATTTCTCATTCACAACCATTGTAATAGTGAGTTCTTGGCAAATTTATTCCATAATTTTATGTCTTTCCTACTTAACTTATCATCAGTACCATGTTTTATTATTATTTAAACTTTTTCCTTCTTCATAAATTTTACTTTAAATTTTTGAGTTTTAAACTAATTAGTTTTAAGTTTTATAGATTTTAGTCAAAATATTTGAATTCAATTAGGGCTATTGCACTCTTGATTGCAAAAATTAAGTCTTGCATCGAACTGTATATATTACGAAAATAAGTAATTAAATTAACAAGAAAAGTTAGAAAAATCAGTGATATAAAGAATAAATAAAAATGCTTGTTTCCATCAACAAGAACATTGAATTTTTTTATATAACATTTATATTCTTGGGGGGATGGCAATTTTCTGTGAGTAAAACACCAATCATAAATGTGGAAAAGTGCTCTGTCAGATGATTTTCCTGGAAATCGTCAAACACGGCTTTGGGCGATTTTCCTGTTTGAATGACAATAATATATGGCAGAGTTTCGTGTTTTAACAATGTAGTCATTCCGAGAATTTTTTAACTACATATTTTATTTGTTTCTTATTAAAATTCTTTCTTGAGGGTGAGGCAGGGAAAATTCCTAACTAAAGATGTCAGTTGAAAAACTGCATTGTACGGATTTAAATTAAGATTAATTCCTAACAAGAGGCCTCTAGTTTATTATGATATTAACATTTATTAGGCCTGTGAAGTCTCAGCGATGTTTCCCTCCCCCCCCGGATAGTTGGAAAGCTTTTATATACGCTATAGTGAAGACATTTTTGAGAAAACACCAAGTATATCTATCCCTTGTTATTTGCTATATGGCATCATTTACTCAAAGAATCTAATTTTAGGCTTCCACTCAACAACTGGAGCTAAGTTTATATAGTGATTGTATTTTTCCGAACGTTTCGCTGTCTTAAGATATAAAAATCATTAATTAGATAGGTTATTTTTTATTTATTTATTTATTTTACAAATGGCAAGTACTTGCCTCTAACGGCATTGGCTACTACTAAGGCCAGAAGTGGTAGCCATTTTATTATGGAGGCACCTAATAGGCGGCCACCGTTACCTCCTATGAAGGGACATACAATTTTACATCCAATGATAGACATGACATCGCAGACAGGCTCCACTAACCACTAGACCGTCTGGGTGGCATTAGATAGTTTATTGTTTTTAAGATTTGAGATTCTTTATCGGAAATTCCTGAAAATCTCGAAATTATTCAGGAAGTTATTTAGTTAAGAAATACTTGTTTTAATGTAAAAATAAAGCTAAATAAGATGAAATATAAACAGAAGATACTAAGATATTTGATTTTATTTTTCATTCAATCTTTTTATTTTGTTCTCTTTTTTTTTAATTACTGCCATATTTTGATGTCATATTTTATTATGTACTTGTTTAGATAGCACATGCATTAAAACTGAAAGACAGAGAAGAGATTATGTTAGCCCTGCGCAAGAATGGCACGCAACATGACATTTCTTTACCTCATATTTATTTAATATTTTTCTGGTATTTTATTCTAAATGATCGAATTATTCTCACATCAAGAGGTTTTAAGGTAATCACATAATTTGTCAGATAAGTGAAGACAATAAGATAAGTGAAGACATATGTCCCACACATCTATTTATATATATATATATATATATATTTCTTTTCTTTTTAAGACTATTTCTTGAGAACTCTAAACCTAATATATTAAGAATAAAAGTTTTCAAGAATTAAGGCTAGAAATTTTCTTTTAAATCGAGAGAATTTTCGTGCAGGATTTTTCAAGCGCAAGCGATAATTACAAGAGGTCATTATATTTCTTTATTCTCCGTGTCACATCCCAGAGGCGGAGCGGATAAGATCACTGACTATTGGTAGTTCGATTGGAGTTCAAATCCTCGCAAACGGACTGGCGGAATGGGAGTTTTCGTATTTTTCCTCATGCGTAACGGGAATACTAGCCAGTTTTTCTTAGAACATCCTCAACGAAGGTATCCAATCCCTTTGGCACGCAACCCTAGAGCGCTTTTCTATATATTGTCTAATAAATCCAAATCTTTCTCTGTTTTATTCCGAAAACCCTGAAATTTAATACTTTGCCTCATTTCCTGAGACAATATTCAATCCTTAGGAGTTGCTTAAAATACTTTCAGCGACTATCCTAAGAGATCCGATATCCTAAGAAATGAAAACTTGGATTTTTTAAACTACTACTAGGCATACTTAAAGAACATCTTTCAAGCTTGTTGCCTATATTCTCCTTTGCTTTTCAAGGAGAGTACTTACACCGAAAAGATAAAAGAGAGAAGCAGTTTAGCCAGCCAAAAGTGTCTGATGCTCTTGTGGCTGAAAATCCAATAACGAGTGAAAGTTCAGTCTCGACTGGGATTCGATGCTCGGGAGAGTTGTGAGTGACGGGGACAGGGAAACTGATGATTTTTGTTTTTCTGCGAAAGGACATTTATTGCCAGTTTATTCAATATGCACTTTCAAGACATTTCCATTCTTCCTAGTATCCATAAGCAGAGCTTAATTTCTAAAATCAGAAGTGTCGGGACCCTATGGAAGGTCACGAGGGAAAAGGGAAAAAATAAAGAAGTAAAATAGCTAATAATTAAAATATTAAAATAGTAAAATTCAACAAAATGTAAAGATGTAATTAAAAATTTAATAAATTATTTAATTAATTATAATTAGTTAAATAATAAAATATAATAGCGTTTTATTTGAAGCTTCAAGAATTACAATCTCACTCACAAACTAAAAAATAGCTCAGATGGTCTCTGGCTGTACTTCAGCCTTTAATACACGGTATAATTGCACTACCAAAGGATGATAAACACAAAGACCCTTCTTTTTCCAACACACCAATGAGAAAAAGGTAAAGCAGTTGAAGCATCACTAATGAAAATGACAGAATGCTAGAAACAGTATGAAAATATAGAAGGAAATTTTAACGGAGAAGTGTACCATCGAAATCAAAGAAAGAAGTATTCAACACTGTCTGAACACGATTCCCTCCAATTTAATTCTAGCTGTCAAGCAGAATGTGAAAGGGAAATAAACTTCCCTTGAGTTCGACCCGATATCAGCCTAAGAACAAACTGTAAGGCTACAAGGCACAAGTTTTGTGCCCCGTATTTGATTTCATCGTTCCAAATAGTCTGTCTTTATTGGGAAATCACTAGCGTTGCCTCTGCACAACCAGGACAATCATTTTCAGTAAAAATCTACTCATTCTCATAAATTCATTGAACTTTCTGGAGAAAAGCCTTTGGCATGTAGGTGGACGGCTTTTCTTCTTTTAAAAGTCTTCACTTCAGTCAAAGGGTTTGTTTCTCAGGAAAAGAGAGGCATGCATTCAGAGGCTAGAAGAGATATTTAAGGCTAATGTATTATTAAATTAAATTTTTTCTGCTGAAATTATGGTTCATTTTAATAAAAAAAAAAAAAAAAAAAAAAAAAAAAAAAAAGGGCGAAACCCTTTTATGTAACGCTCTGGTACGCTTCGTCTAGAATTACGACTCACCTCAAAAACTGAAAAGTACCGGAGCCCGACTCAAATGGGTTTCAGCGAAATTTAAGCTCTGTCCGTAAGCAAATCCCTTTAATTTTGAAACTGTTGTATGCTCTTTAAGCTCAAAGTTTTTATGCTCGTAAAAATGCCTTGTTACAGATCCTACACTAATAATTTCAAAATATTAAAATGTTGACGTCTTATTTTATGGTTTGCAATAATCTGAAGGATTCAGTCAACTACCTTAAGATTTAAACATAGATATACATTTAATTATTTGACTTTTATACAATTCAGATTGTAGTTAAATAACAATAGGCCTAAGGTCACATACTATTTTGCTAACATAGTTCTATTTTTAGACGCTTTATTACAGTTCTTAATCTAATTCGCCCACCAGCGACCGAGCGGTATAGTCGCTGAACTCTGGTAGTTCGACTCCCATGTTATAAAAAAATATCAGTTTAAGTATTCAAGTAGACAATCCATTCTTCTCAGTTGATCGATTAGAAGAAAATGAGGAGAAGAATCATCTTTGCGCAAATCATTCCTTAACAAAAAATACCTGAAGATTACAATTTGAAAATCTGTAAAGAAATTAATTCATGCAGCTCTGTTTCAGTATAAAAATTGAAACGTCAGAGCAGACTTAATCGAACAAAATGCAGGATCGATAAGAATGGATGCCTACTTAAATTGCTATTTTTTGTAACATGGGGAATTATATTAGAGCATCTAAAAATTAAATTCTGCTAACAAAATATATGACATTAGGCATAATGTTATATAACTCCCATCTTAATTCTGCAAATAATAATTAAATGCATAGTTTAAAAAATAATTGAACGCCTAGCTATGTTTAACTCTTATGGTAGATGGTTCAATCATTCAGATTACTGAAAACAATAAAATAAGACAGCAACATTTTACTATTAGTGTTAAATCATAAAAACGAAAAATAACAGTTCCCATAATTTTCTAGCAATTTAACAAATTTAAATTCCAGCACACGATTCATAAAAATCAAAATTTAACGCAGCTTGACAGGTGCTGCCATCTATCTTCCGAAGACGAAACTTGAAACAAATCAAAATTTCGTGTTGACAATACTGCTGCATGAACGCTAATAAATGTATAGCAGATACGAAATTTTAACACACGAGGCAAATCCCAAAATCGCCATCCCCAATATACTTAAACGTTAGCATCATATTAAGTTACATTTCACTTTCTCTTCTCATTTTTAGAGTTTAGACGGTCGAGGATGGTAGTGAGCGCCGTAAGGGCTCCACCCGCAATAAGACCTGCTCCGCACTGCTCTGGACCTGCAGCAACAGGACCTGCTCTGTACTTTAATTTAAATTTCATTCGAAATATATTACCTTCTTTAATTTACTCTTAATTAATTTATTCCGAATTAACAGCAGGCCGTAATAATTAAAAATCTTTTATCGTCTTTTGCTATTTAAGTGCAGTTCTATAATTTGAGATATTGACAGCATAAGAGTACTCACCACCCACGGTTTATCTTGAAAATTATAGAGGCTGTGCAGGGAATTGACACTAGGCACTCCGCCATATTTAAATCCTAATAAGAGATTTCGGTAATCTTCCTGCCCAGCATCTCGAACATGTTGTCGAATCAGTAAAAAATCTGGGCGAAAAGATCTGGAAATAAACGTAGAAGCATTAGACACGGTTCTTAAATTTTAACAAGGATAGCAGTTTAAATAAACGTCGTACATACGAAATTCAGTGGTGAGTTAATTTTACACCAGTTTCGTTAAATTATTAATTAGATAACTAAGCATTTATTAAAAACATATTCTTTTGTGTACAAACAAAAGCACATAAAAGTGTAGAAATTGAAAATAACTGATAGCAATAAAAACGGCATCCTAAATTTAATATTTACTTCAAAAATGATCTGAAGTCAAATGAAACGATCTTAAGTTAAAAATTAATCAAAAATCATCTTAAGTCACTTTCATCATACATTCATTAAATGACAAATTTCTCTTAACAAGATTAGATTAGCCACTTACCTCACCACCTTCGTTCCATTTCTATTGACTACCATACTCACAGTGGCACCTGTATCACTGTTCACGGATAAATTGATATCCTTAAATTCAGCCTAAAAGGAACGAAAGTAATTGATGGAATAAAAAAGTAAGCTTAGAATGAAATAACATTTAAACAGAAAGCTAAAATTGTTAAGATTAGAAGGAATCGATTCTTCCAGCTCGAAGAATTATATTTAATCTTTAAGAATTCAAAAATAATGAAAAAAATAAAATAAATAAATAAAAACATTAAAAAAAATTAAATTTGAAATATAATCTTCGTATGATAATTATTGTTTACCTACTAGAAAAACTCTAAGCTAAACGGTTACGATTCATTTAAAAAGTAATCTTAAGTTCCAGTATTCAAGATATAGAGATGTATAGAACATAGAACCATATTTAAGATAAACTGTTAAAAATAACAATGCCAGGTGGCAAGGGAAAAACTTGGCATGATTTTACCGTATAATCGTCACCTCATGAAGACTTATCCGCTTATTTAATAAAGAAAAGAATGATTTAAGACGTAGTTGTACATTTATTTCATTAGATTACATGGCCACGAGGCTTCCAATAGGTATTTCTCCCACTTAATTTTATCAGCACGCCAGATCCACCTGCTGAAAAAGTTAAAAGAGTTTCTTTCGAGGTGTTTAAAAACTGGTTTCTTCTTAATTTAAATTAAGTAATTGTTACACTATATGGGATTTGCACACATGTCGATACATTATCTTTTCCAGAATACATGTGTATTATTTTTAATGACATTTTAAACAAATGAAATTCGCATTATCCACCTCTAGTGTAACTTATTAGCTTTATTATTGTAATATTACTGCATCAAATAACTTATTTATTGTAGAAGTGCACTATAAAGAAATGAACACGTATTGAAATAAAAATTTTAAAAAGGCTTACCTTGTGTTAAAAGCCCTTTCACCGAATGTGTAAAGAACGCTACCTAAGAAACGCCTTCTCTCTCACTTTCACCCTCTTTCACTATTTTGAGTTATTTATTTAGTATGACTTCTGTTTATGTTTTTGTTCCGAAAATAAGTAATATGGTTTCAAGGTGGAACAAAATATGGAAGTATGACAAAATAAGTACGACTATTTATCTTTTCTGCAGCATTAAATGGTATATTGCGTGCAGGTACTTTTGAATTGTGTTTTCACCAATAAACTTTAATAATAAATGGGTATAATTCCTGCTTTTCTGCACAGGAAAGATTAACTCATTTAAAAACGATTTTCAGCACATTGCTGGCGAAGGCAATGGAGCTACGCATTAAATCCTAGGTTTGTTTTTGTCTGACTGAAACTACAATTTAATTCAAGAAAAAGAATGAGAGATCCTGAAGTAATGGTCATATAATTCAATCCTACTTCTATTTTAAAATGTTTTTGCAACATTTATGAAACGATTGTGTTGAATAATAAAGTTTCCTTGACATATCTGAGAAATGGTCTCAGATGAAATTCTTTGGAAAAACGTAAGATTTCTTTTAACACATATTTTCTTTCTTTTGACACTTAGTCTAGACCATGGATTCTTAGACCTAATGAAGTCTAGACCATGGAGACCATTTTCTTGCGTCAACGCCTTTCAAAAAATTGGCTTTTTTCATAGACCCCTTTACGTTTTTCTCTACAGCGTACAGTATACAACATAATCAGAAGATAAATAATTACATATAAATAATCTAAAGATAACAATTAGATTAAGAATATGAACAATAGTTTTGAATAAACGTGTTATTAAATTAATTTTAAATTATTTTTATTGTTTTTAACTCACAAATATAAATACGTTTTTAAAACAAAATCACAGATTCTACATACACAGAAATTCGATTTTAATGAATGTGAGGTTTGCCTTTGATGAACTGATGCAATTTTTTTAAAATTCGCCACAAAATTGCTTAATTTAATTTTTAATCACCAGTTTCAAAAATATTCAACGGTGTTTCTGTTTTTCCATTCTAGTTTTGCGTTCTCCATATTTTTTTTTTTTTTTTTTCAGTTGTGTTTTTTTGAGTTTTAACAGCGCAACAATTTTTTTTTATTCGCGAGAATTATATATAATATATACAAAAAATGTTGTTGATTTAGAAAATATATTAAATAATTTTAGGGTACTTTTTCTCTTATAATTATAAAATATAATTTTTTTCTTGTCACACGAAAGCTTTGTCAATAAACAATTAATTATCAATTTTATTATTAATTTTTTGTAAGCAATGAAATCTTAATTATTCTAACTAATTGCTGGTGCATATTTGGCGATCGACCCCCTTGCCCAAGACTGACTGCTTTGAAATTTTATCGGCCTAGAGAAGGTTAATATCGACCTCGTTGGGGGCCCATAGGCTAGACAAAACTAAAAACTTCTGAACATCTGAAAACTGAATATCTTGCGGTTATATGAATGTACAACATCGACTCGAAATACGCTTACACTTTTAACCTTATAGCGAACCTTTCAAATCAGTTACGCGTTAGCATTAAAATTTCAGACATGAACATTAAACTTATTATCTCCGAAAATAAAAGGAGAGGAGGGAATATGCTACATGAAATCCGTAATATTACCCTTTTGTACAAATTTTAGATGCCTTTTCTTTCAAAGGAAATGATAATCTCTGCTCAAATCCACAATGCAAAGGCGAAACCAAGGTGTTATTTGTTGCTCAATCGATTTTAGGCTGACACACCCTATTTCTTCCGCGAAGACCAGTTTTGATCAACTACTGTGGACCCTACCGAGAGGATTTCATAGATACGTTTCTTCTAAAATTTGTTTTTAACGCACGTGTAGTAGAAAGTCAAACATTTTAACTAACTAGATTTTTGAAACATCTAATACTTTTTTCTTTTTTTCTTTTCTTTTCTATTTTTTTTTTTTTTTTATTTTTTTTATCATTACACTACTTTGCGTAATGATAAAAAAACATGAGGACTAACAAGTTTTGCCATTACATACCCATAAGGTCTTTCAATTATTATCCACACGGCCTGTCAAATCGGTCTTTGCTGCTCTTCGACATTTAACAGGGTCTGTCATTTATCTTTCAGATTCTAAGAACGCATTCCTTAACTGAGTTATTTAACAGCAATGTACGCACCGCATAATATAATTTATATATTTATTTGATTTTTTTTTAATACTACAGCTATATAATGGAATTTATAATACATCTAAGTCATATGATTTGTATTATAGCTTATTGACAAAAATTCTAAACATTTTCATTTTTATAGCAAATAAAATAAGTTTTTTTTTTAGTATTACTAATACGTATCTATATATAAAATAATCATTTGTGCGCTTCCTAGATGATTCATATTCTATATGTTGAACTGCAAGAAAGACGAAATTTTACTTTTTCCTTTAATGTAATTTTTCTTTTATTTAAGTTCATTTCAATAAATAATACTCAATTAAACAGAATAATTTTATGTCATTAGATAAAACAAAATACACATTTTCCAACAAAATTAGGAAAAAGAGTTTTTTTTAATGAATAAAATTCAGAAATAAAATTAATTTTGTTTACGTAAGAGAAATCTCTAACTAAATCCTAACTAATTTTCTTTTTGATAAAAAAAGAAATTGTTATTATTAATTATAATTAATTTTGTTTACCGTAAGAGAAGTCTCTAAATAAACCTTAACTACTCTTCATTTTGATAAAGAAAAGGAAATAGATGTTATTATTATTATTATTCTGCGTAGCCCGAAACGCATTATTTTCTGTTCAACTAAAATTAAACGAGTATATGTTTTTATGGTGATTTAAAATTGTGAAATAACAAAAATAACAACATAATATTTCACTTTAAATTTTCGCATTAATAATTAGTAATTAGTTTATGATTTTAACGAGCTGCAACTATTTTACATGCCGTATTCATTTATCTCAAGTAATTTAAAAGAGTCTCAGCAATGGATATTCTGCCGCGTGCACTGATGTTTGTATCATCTAATATATACAAACACTAAATTTATAAACTTTCTCGAAAGGTTATTTAGGAATTTAGAACATAATTTTGATAGTTAAAAATCTATAACATCGAATTTAACAATTTGTAGTATAAATTAATGTTAAAATTTTGTTTATAACTATTCATCTTGCTGTATGCAATTTGATATCTTAAGGAATTGACAGAAATTATCACACACACATAAAATATATATAGACAACTTTTCTCTTATTTTAATTAAAGGACTGTGATATGGAGGATTAAATTATCCCGTCATAATGAGAAAAGGATTTTCTTATTTTATTTCATCGATTACTTGAATACTTTTCCGATGATGAGATCACTGCAGAGATTATAATATGGAATACTTTAAAATTTTTTGCGAGACAGATTTAATTAAGCTGGTGTTTAATTACCATTTTTTATTTCAAAGCCTTCTGAATTTCAGCATAATGCGCATTAGATCAGCAGCCATTTAATTCCAGGATGACTGAAATTTATCTTATGTGCATTTCCTAGGCTTGGCGCCATTGAAACCGGAGGAATTCTCCTAATGTATGTATGATGCCGCCGTAGGGAATAACGATCATAGATTGGCGTGGAAACGATACCTCTCGTTAATAGGTATCAGTATGAAAGGAACCTGACAACCTGAAACGAACTGCAAGTTTCAGTCACCATAGAAGCTTTTTAGTGAAGGCGAAACTCAATTCCCAGGGTAACTACGGCATGATTGAGTTTTCTTCACGTCCATTACATTCAATTACATTTGCAGAAGGAAGAAATGCAATCTTCAATCATATTTGCTGCTTCATGAATTCTCTCCGAAGTCCAGCCTTTTAAAATGTTGCTTAGAGCATTTTAAATTTGCTTGCTTATTTTATCCTATCAGAATTTAATAAAAGATTTTTCGCGGTCTCTCTTTCCTCTAGAAGTATTAAACGGAGCTGTTACTGGATTAATTTAAATGGTAATTTTAAGTTTTCTTGTAGTTTTAAATTGGTCTGGATAATTACACTCTGACTTGTTTTCATAGATGATTTAAATTACTAAAAGATTCGTATTTTAAGTGCGATATGATTCTAGCATCTGTTTTATGGGAAATTCCCCATTCCCCTCACCGGCTGGATAGCTGCTAAAATTCCGAATCATATGGTTAAATTAAATAACCTTGTAATTACGTGAACTATCCTAGGTATAATCTGTTAAAAGAATCTAGACTGTTATAAGCAGATTCCTCTGAGCATACTGATTTGAACTAAAAATATAATGCTGCCAAAATATGAATTTAACTTAACCAGTTTGTCAAAATATTACACATTTAAATTTATTACTATTATATTTTTAAGCTTAATTTCCCCCTCTCCTTCCGAAAAGTGAAAAAAATGAATTTTAATCCGCTTAGTTTCCATGTCTGTATCGTTCGTTAAAGTTTTCAAGAATAGATTATGTAATCAAAACTTTGCTGTCAGATACAAACATAGGCATTGTAAAACTTATTTAAGAGGAAAGAATGCAAACATAAATTATTCGTAAGCTTTCTAATAAGCGATGCAATTAATACTGATTTATCCAACAAATATTTATGAAAACATAAATTATTTGAACCTTAACTTGTAAACGTAAATTATGCATTTAGTTGTGTCATGTACCCCATATATTTTGAGATAAGGGAAATCCTTAAACTTCTAGCTCTTAAAATCATTAGAAAGTGAGTCTGAAATTCAAAGTGTTATTCAAGATATTTTTTTAAGTAACAGAAGACTCCGAGAGACCAATACAAATGCAACGAAAATGCATCACTCGCTCTCATTAAATTGCTGTTACCTTTGAAGATGACTTTTTTAACCTTTGAAGATGAATCTTTGATGCTGAACCTTTGAAGGTGACGTTTTGAGTAAATCAAAAGTACACTAGTGTTTTAAGATTAAAAACTGCGACATATCCGATGAAGACTCCTATAACTTGAAAACTCACCGATGTGCAGAAATGAGGAAATGCTTCAGGTTTTTCATGAAGATCGTCAAAAGACTATTCACCAGATTTCTGAAGAAACTCTCTCCTTCCAACAATTCTTGGCGTTGTCATGTCGACACATACTACTCACCAAATTTTCTACTTGCTCAGTGTGGCTTTTTTTCTGTTTCTACGGATATGGAAAGCTCTCAAAAAGTAATTCAATGATGCGGATGAGATGCAAGAAAACACATTGCGTGCTTTGAATAATATTCCGCGTCAATAGTTCCAGAACTTTTTGTATATTTCCAGCAGACGTCAAAACGTTGGGGAGAATGTATTGATGTTGGTGGAGCACACTTTGAAAGGGGATTAAATTAGGTAAGTGTAAAGTATAATTTAATTTCTTAAAAATTATTCGGATACTTTGTGGAATGGATTTTGAAATTATTAAACCTCTTACATGTTATACAGTGTTATTATATGAGTCCAGCCAGATAAACTGTTAAAAACATTCAGGGTTGACATACATTCAGGCCAATACAACATTACATTAGAACACCAACTATCCAGGCTAAATGAGATCGCCCGAATAAATAGAGAGTTTATTTATTTACTTTAAGAATTTTCTAATTCTTTACATAAGCATTCCCTTTTATTCAACATTTTATTTTAACTTCGACATCTATTCACGTCTTATTTTACTGCAATAAAGACTATACAATATCAAACACAATAAACAACAAACAATAAAAAAAGAAAAGGCTTTTAATAAGTTCATATGCTACATGATATAATATTGTGAAATATTCAATAATTTTAATAATTTAATGTAGAAAACAGAACCGTTATGTTTTGGTAGAAAAAACATAAAGCATATTCTTTTTTCTCGACAAAAATAAAGCAATCAAAATATTTTTGCCAACCAGCAGAACAAAATATCATTCACACATACACCAGAAACTCTAAATATATAAAATTCGCGATGTACACCAAAGAGTTAATAGATGAACTTCAGTGACTACGGTCACTAAAAAATGGAAGAAAAAAATTCAAATTCCTAAAGTGATGAAAAAAACTGACATAAATTCACATTTTACCCTGTTTGTTTAATCTATTTTTTTTAAAAAAAGCACTTGTTTTGACTATGCAGTGACGTAAACTAAAGAACAATAGGTGTATATACACGTAAATTGTCTTTCAATTAATGTTTAGAGCCTCTATGTTTACCAAGCATTATAAATTGATTTGCATGTCACGCATATAAATCTAAATTAATTTAACGCAATCTTAAAATATGCACTGTAGGTTAGTATCTTTTAATACTACTAAAATTTAAAATAAAAAAAAAAAAAAATGAATGATTTTACTTGACCTAGGAAGAAGAGCAAAAATCCTGGATATTTCGAGTTTCGAAGTACTGCTGTACTCCTTTAATTTAATCTTATGTATTTAAGAGCATTAAAAAAACAAACTGGTTTATTTCTAGGACAAAATATGAGTAAAACTCCATCCATTATACCCTTATAATGTGTGTGATTACGGCAAAGCCTCGAGGGCTATCTGCCTAGGGAGAGGGATGCCTTCGTGAAGGACTTTCTAAGGGAAACTGGCTCATATACACGTTACACATGGGGAAAACCACGAAAACGCCCATGCAGCCAGCCCGTTCTCAGGATTCGAACCTCGGACCAAACTACCAGGGTTCAGCGACTTTACCGCTCGGCCGCTGGTGGGCCCCTTATAATGAATTCTGATTTATTAAAAACTGGATATCGTAGCAGAAGTTAACTATGTTACTAATAAGCGAATAAATGACGATATGAAAACTCAATCCTGTGAGACAAGTTCTGATACACTATGAACTCAAATACATAATAGCAAGTAATGTAATTACCTGTTCCATGCGAATATCCCAGTCACCATGTATCCTTTTACCTCTGAAATATTTTGACCTGAAATTGAAGTAAATTGTTAGTAATTAAATATAATTGGTATAAATTTATAAAGAAGAGAATGCATCATTTTACAAGTATTCTATTTCATATTCAGGTTTCACTATTTTTAGTAAAAGTTACTTAAACAGTGCATAAAAAAATGATTACAAGCTGAAAACCTTTGACGCCTACGTTGCTAACTTTGATTCTCTAACGATCTGTGGCGTTGAATTATTCTTGCCATTAAGCTTGTTTTCGCCGACTTTCCAGCGGTAGGATATACTTAATTTCATTAATTTTTAAGTTATTTATTACCTTTCAAGTTAAGCTAAAAGTATTTATTGCCTTTCAAGTTAAGCTTTTGAGAGCACGAGCTGGTGCCGTGAGTTAAACTTGATTTGAGTTAATAAAAAAAGGTTCTTTACACCCTTCTCCTGAGTTTTAGTGCATTAAAGGACTTGGTAATAATTCACCAAACAGTCTTCAACTTCGAATACATTTTATGATAGCAAAGAGAATATGACATTACAAGGTCACAAATATAATGCTTAAAAATCACAAATGTAATCATAAATGTTGCAGAGTTATTATCTAAACTCAAGTACAAGTAATTACAAGCAATGTATGATACACTCAGATACATTAGAATGAAACATAAAATTGTTGTCCGCAGATCGATATAAAACTGCCTTAAAAATAAAAGTGCAAGGGTCTCTTTTCCCGAAGCGCTACAGCTGCAGTTCTCTAAAACGTAAAAGTAATTAATCGCCGCAGATTTTTACTTCCTTGTACGAAGTAAAGGATGTATTGTAATCGAAAAAATTTCGAGTGTCATATGTGAACGGAAATATCAATTTTGACTATTCCCAAATCTATTTTGGGGGAATTTTTTGCGTGACGTCTGTAGGAACACACAAAATAAAGGACTCTTTTTTCCAAAACTGATTTAAAATGCATTCAAAAGGGATTTTCTCTTGAAGTATGTATTTTATATAATTAAAAACAAATAGCCATATAACTTTGAAATTTAGTGTATGGGACAGTTATAACATGTAGCTGTGCACCTCCCTTTTTTATTGGTATCGGCAGTACCAAACATATATATGTAAGATATAACAAAATATGATAGCTGTTTCAAAAAACTAATTGGCGACCTCAAAATTAACATTTTAAATTTGGTGATCTGCCCCTAAATTCATCTCTTATCACAGGTTCCAGATTTTTCTATCTTACGTAACGTTTAATGCAGATGCCTCTTCTCCAATTAAATTAATTGTAAACCAAAACTCTGAACATAAACTTTTCCGACTCCGACCCTTCTTCCTCTGAAGTTCTATGATGCTCTTCCTTTTTCCGCATAGCTCTCCAGCTGGCAAGATGCTTTTAAACTATGCTGCTGCTTACTTACTTAAGATGACGTTCTACTTCAAAATGCAGCTTACTGTATTCAAATATAATTAGGAAACATCTTGTCTGAAAAAAGATGATTTGATATGCGTAAAAAAACTAATTGTGATTTTTTAAGATACGTTGTGCTAAACTGCGTCATCATGCTTTACACTCTGCCACTACGGTCTGCTCGGTCATCTACGCAGTACCGTAAGCTGTTAAAAGTTCCACTGTTTTCATCTACGCATTTTGAAATGATTACATAATATATATATATATATATATATATATATATATATAAATAACTAGGACTTTCAAGCCGGGTAAAGAGATGGGTATATATATACTGTGTATATATATAACTCAGACTTTGAAGCCGGGTTAAAGGATGGGTATATATACTGTATATAAACTCACCCCTTTACTCGGCTTAAAAGTCGTTATCCCAGCTTTATTTTCGTAATCGTTTGTCCTAGTAACCTAGTAATATATTTCCAAGTGGTTTAAAATAACGAAAATATTCATGTTTTGGCAGTGGCGAATTAAAAAAAAATAATAGTGGAATCTAACTTTTAATGCAGTCTCCTGGCTCTTATATTTGGGAAAGTTTTACATTCGCTATGAAAAAATAAAATCAAAAGAAGTTTGACTTCCATACAACAAAAATTGACCTGGATATTTAATTTCAAAATTTGCAATTTTTGGTGACGTTTTCAACTTGCCTTAAGGAATCAGAATAATTCGAAGAGATAAGCTTAAATAAAATACAGCAAAAGAATGTGTATAAGTTAATAGGCCGTATAATAAAATTATGTGGTGTCTACAACAGATTTTATTAACTTATCACCAGCAAATTATGCGGAGCAGGTACCTATAAATTCAACAAATTATTTTGTAAGGCCATTATTTATATCACGGCAGTTATTTATATTATCAGAATAGCCAAAATTAAAACCCGGAGCGAAATAAGAGCATTAAAGTTTCAAATACTGATAGTAGTCAAATACTTTTAAAATACATAATTTTTGAAAAAAGATAATAAAGCAGGAATATCATTTATGCCTCTTTGAATGGTTTTAATATTCATATTTTCCTTACATAGTAAAGAAAGTGAAAAATTTAAATCACATCTGCTACATGTATACATAGGATGACATATCTTACTCATAAAGCCCTGCATGAAGATTTCTGAAATATGTGGATCGAGACGTGAATTATTTCTTTTAGAGCTGCATTTTGGAAAGCGAATAAAGATTTATAAAGATTGTTTTGGCACTGTTAAAGTATTTCTTGTAGCTAAAGACCTTTATACTAATATATTATTAAGTCTACATTCAAAGATAAAATTACATACGTTAACATTAACTCTGAAATAGTGATATTTTTTTGCTAACAGATGTATCAATATTTGCTCACAGAAGTTTCAAAACATTCTACACTATTTCTCTTGAATGTGGAAGATGATTCACAGAATTTAATATTCTGAAAGATTTACCCGAAGTATTTATTCAAAATGTCCGTACAGTGTGTGCGAAATGGCAGAAAACAGTTATCTGGAAACAAAATTAACAGAATTTTCATAAGCTCTGGAATCTTAGTGATCCGTATTGGACAGTGTCTAGCAAATTAATATTGTATATTATGTTAGCAGTATAGTACTCTTGAATATTAATTTAGAAAGTTGTATATAGGGTATTACGTAGTAGAGAGAGCTCATTTCAAAATAAATTAATGACATTTCATGAAGGCATAAAACTTAGAGATCCACATAATCGATTCATTAAAAGAAGTATGCCTTGCTCAGAACACAGTTGCTAAAATAAATGAGAAAATTATCAGAACAATTACAATATTTTTCCTTAAGATAATTTTTTTATTAAATAAAATTTTCTGCGTCTGGCCTATTTTTCAGAATCATCTTGTTTTACAGATAGTAATACAGAAAGACTGAAATTCCATTTTTAGTTATGTTTTAAAGCGTTGTTTTGCAATTTTGAGGGAGAACCTTACGGTGAAAAGTAAACTTCATTTCCTCGCAAGGCACTGAAATTAATAATATAAATAAATTAATGAGAAAGTTAAGCAGGACTCTGAACATGAATTAAATGGGAAATTCCGCCTTCCTAGGCTGTTTACTCATTTATCTGAAGTTTGAAAGCAGGCGGCGAACAGTTTGAAATGATGAATTTTTATATCTACTTAATTGAAAGGAGAGAAGAATATTTAAAATCCTCATAGCCTCGCTACACATTATAATCGTTAAGGATAATAAATGGCGGACAGTGTCAGACGCAGTTTATTTTGTTCACCCTTTTATGCTGTCTCCGAAAGCTCTATAAATTAACAAGAGAAAGGTGAAAGAGGACGGAAAGCAAACTTTTTATCTCTACTTTGAAAAGAACTGGTGCGAACAAGAGGAGAAAGGAACTAGCGCAGAAACAATTTTTTGTCTGGCGACTCATCGATAGTCATTAAAGGCAATTTTTCTCGCTGCTTGCACTTTTGACACTTGTTGGGGACCTATTATTTCGTTGACTATACCTAATAAGTATTAGAAAATACTATGGTTTTGTAAGTGGAAGAAAAATGAAAAAAATAAGGCATTTTTTAAAACTTGTTTAGTTCCCTTTTGATGACTTAGTAAAGCATGATCGAGTCTAAATAAAGCAATATTGTGAAAATTTAGAAAAATACCTATTTTGTACCACCTAAAAAAGGAAGAGCATAGTGACTTATTCATATTTCCATCTTCCCTAGCATCCTGGAGCCCACTAGCGTCCAAGCGGTAAAATAATCAACAGTGGTAGTTCAAACCGGGTTCAAATCCCGGCGAATGGATTGTCTACATAGAAGCTCCCATGAATTTCCCCCATGTGCAACGTAAATAGATCTAGTTCCCCGTGGAAAGTTCTCCACCAGAGCATATCTTCTATTAGGCAGACAGCCTCGTGTGCTTTACCGGAACCCAAATAATCCAAACTCAAGCTTCCTGCTTACTAAGCACACTGGTGAAATAAATTAACAGAATTTGCATATTTTATCGAATTCCATGAAAATAACTGAACAGAAGGAAAAACCACTGATTCTAGATAAAAATGCAAATCTTGTACGGCAAATATGTAAGTGTACACGTGTGTGTAGGCGGAGCCAGCGGAAAACAGGCTTTATAAGCGCGTGGAGGTTAAGACGAATTGCGTTCGTTAGTACACCTCGGCGAATTTCTTGTGTAACCTATGGAAATAGTTCCAGGATACTGGATCCACTGAGAGAAAGCCTGGGCAAGGTAGTCCAAGAGCCACGGCGGCCAGAGAAGATTGCTGTTTGTCCATTTTAGCGAGACGTAACAGAGGGGGCTACAGCTTCTCAGCTCTTTTCGGACCTGTATACAGTCACAGGAACCCGTATAACAAGGGTGACAGTTTCCAAAAGATTGAATGAGAGAGGGTTGTTTGCCAAAAGACCGGCTCTTTGCGTCCCGCTCACGTCTATGGACAAGAGAGTCCGATTAGCATAGTGCAGGCAGCATAGTGATTGGAGTAGGGAGTAATGGGCGACCTTCTGTTCACCGACGAATCCCGTTTTAGTCTAAACACATATTCTCGCCGTACTTTTATATGGAGAGTGCCAGG